TGATGGGTCGAAAAAGGAAAATCCAGCAGCGGCAGCTAATTAAAATGGCTTATAATTTTCATGATTTACACTTGTTGTCTGGTTTTACCCAACGCCTCCCCTTAAAAAGCCCCCTGTTCGGATTCTTATGTTTGTGTTTTGGGTTAAAAGCTCATAAAATTAAAGGCCCTAAAAACATGGCGTGGGCTAAAGGGAGAATTTTTAGAGATGTGAATAGAGAACATTTTTTAGAACAATGGAATTAAAATGGTGCGAATGAAATGATGAAATGGTTGAGGAATTTTATTAAGAAAAATGAAATATTTCAATTGCAAGACACAAACTAACACCTAACAAATTTTCTTATTGACTTAAAAACTTGAAATATAGACCTCAATAAATACACAATCTGCACTTTAATTTTAATGTAAATAAGGTAATCAAAGGTTATTTCACAAAATTGCCATAAATTAATTATAAATTCAGTCTAATAAATTATTATCGCCTGACTTGGCTTGGCATAATTTCGTGTCACGATTTTCATCCCTAGAAAAAAAAACGAATCAAATAAACTTGCTTAAGCATTTTGATTGTGCAAAGGCAACAACTTAGTTGAAGTTGAAAAAAAACGAAAAAAAAATGTAGGCGCACATTTGGTTTTTATGCTATCCGGTGCACAAAATATAATTCAATCAACGCCAAGTGCCACGCCCCCAATGCCGCCACACCAGCCAGGGAATGGAAATTCATTTTCTATTTTTTAGTTATTTTTGACTCTTGCATGCCGCACGTCAGCGGCTGGGGGATGGAGGATGGAGTGGGGTTTAAGGCAGCAGAAGAGAAATGTTCCTCAAGATAGTATATATCGTCGGGTATATGAAAAATATGGCATATGAGCTGGTGGTGCCCCAACTACCGACCCCCGAAGACCAGATGATGGTCTTCCGACTTCACCTCGTGCCGCTGCTGCCTGCCGCTGCCCCTTTTTGGATTGGGAGGATTGGGAAGGAGTGGGGCTAGTGGTGCTGGTTCCAGAGTTCTAGAGTTCTGGGGTTCCGGGGTTCCCGAGTTCTGGGCCTGTCAGCTCACGGCGCGCGCAGCAGCATAAATCAACTTATTTCATTGGAATTTATGTTTTGTTGTTGCGCCTGTCGTTGATGCAGTTGCAATTGTTGTTGCTGCGGCATTGGCATAGCCCTGTGCAACAAACACTCTGACGACTGACGCCACCACCGTCATCCTCAAGCGATCCGGCAATCCAGCAAATCCACGAGGGGATTACACTTGCTTCCTCCTCGAATGCCCTTTTCCAAAGCTGATTTGCGGCTGCTGGCAACAAGGATTTCAATTTGTAAGATAACAGGATATTTTGTTCAGAGTTTAAGTCTCTTTAATATGATTCCTGAAAACTAAAATGGTTAAAAGGAAATACTTATAAAATTAGTACAGATGAATACAATTCTTCTGAACTATTTCGATGGAATTCTGTGACAATTTGGAATTAATACTTTGATAAGCTCGAGAATGATTGAAGTAAGGCATTTAAACATGTTATTTTAGTCACCATCATGAAAACAGAGAAAATAAAGATCTCATTTTTATATCTATATCTGTTTTACATTAGTTAAAAGTTCTTTTGGCCTGTGTATTTAATGTTTATCATTGTAATATATTTCTGATTACTAATATCATAATATCATATTATATCATAATATCCTATTATATCATAATATCATATCATATCATAATATCATAATCATATTTTTCCTCGCCAAAGAAATGAAATATTTTAGGGTAGGGTATTCAGAGATCGATTAGATGTCAAAGACATTTTCCATAAGTATTTCATGCTTGTTGCCTGGTTGTGTGTGCAATTGCTTCATTTGCGGCAATGTCTTCGAGGGGAATGGGGGGTGAAAAGAGGTGGAGTGGTAGCAGATTCAGAAAAGTAGGAGGTGAACGAGGAGGCACAGGCCGCGTGTTAAAATGTACACTTTGCATTTAAATCATTCCGGGAAGTTGGTTTCGTTATATTTATCTGTTGCCATTACCTTACACTCTCCTCGTGCCCCATGTGCAACTGGCTGTGGCGGAGTTCCTTCAGCAGGAACTCAATCAGCGGAGGGCCAGTGAAATAAGCAGAATTGAAAAGCTAAGCACTTTCCTTTCTTATTTTTATCCGACTTTTGCTGCAGCTCAGCTGAGTGCTTAGAATGCGGCTGACTTGTGGCAGAAATATCCACTATATAATCCGGAGAGTGAGAGATTAAAGGCTCATACTAAAGCTGCCACATAAATTAAACTTACTGAGCAGTTTTGAGGAATTGTTTGCCTGCCTGCCTTTATGGAAAGTTGAATTTTTTCTTTTGCATGATTTATAACTGAGAATATTTGGAATACTAAAATGTTTATTCTTCTTTATTTATTTGCAGGTATGTTGAAGATAATGGCCATAAATACGACTGGTTGAAGTGGCAGAAGCTTATCCAAGATAAGTGAGTTTATACGAACATATGGAAAGTGAACTTAGAAATAAGGTCAAAATTTTAAACATTACTTTACCAAGGTTGATAGATTGAATTTTCCATATGAGTGATTTTTTCTGAAACGTATTGAGATTTTTTTAAAGGTCTCAAAACGATTTCATATTTTTCTTACGATATTATACCATATAGGACTTATAAAAAATAAATCCATTTGACAAAAGCAAATTTATGTCGATTACTTTATTTGAAATATATTTAAGTAGTAGTGAAAATCTTTCAGATTCATTAATGTCTAGGCTATTTCATTGTTTCCTTTTGTTCAAACTCTTAATTCTCCATAGTCTTACCATTCTAATTGAACTTATAGAGGTTTCAGTTCGAGTTCAGCTTATACTCCCCACTCTGCACATTATTCAAGTTCTTCACTCTTCACTCCATTTAATTTTTCCGAGAGTGCTGCACTTACTCCAGACATTTTTCCTGGGAATATTTCCCTTTGACTGGATAAATGACTTTGTCCGGTAATTTGCCCCGATGTTGTGCAACTCCCCGTCACTTTTTGTTTGGGGATTCCCACACCCTCTGCCCGTGTGGCGGATAATTATGCCATGCTAAACATTGTCTCACACTCGACGGTCTCTTCCTCTTTCTCGCCCACACTTGGATTTATGGAATACTTAACGAACAAAGTTGTGAATACAAAAGCCAAACACCGTTTCCCCTTCCAGCAATTAGAAGCCATTTCCATTAGCGTTTAACCATTTAACATTTTTTTAGTTGGTTTGCTTAACAAGTCTTCACACCTGCCCACATCTTGAGCAAATACTTATATTTGAGCTGTGTGAGGAGGTAAAAACAGAAAAAAAGAGAAGTTGTTGGGGAAAAAATCTTGTCACTTGTTGCCAATTAAGAGGAAAAACAACGAGCACAGCCCGGGGACCCTGATGATCGTACATCAAGTGGTGGGGTTGGTACGTCCGTCTCTATATGTCTGGTTCTCCAGTTCCCCCCAGTTCTCTAATTCTCCACTTCTTCAGTTATTCAGCTCTTCAGCTCTTCAGCTCCTCAGTTCCCCAGTTCTCCAGAGGACCAGAGGCGGTCAACGTCTGACGCTGGCGGCGCAGCTGCTTCAATTAGCCCAGTCTGTTTATTTGCAGATTCTTTTTGCAGCTTTTGTTTTGATTTTGCAGATTTTTTGCTTGGCTTGGCACATGTGAAAAAGTGCAGAGATGGCGATCCAAAAAGAATCATTTCTTCAACTGTTTAATTGCAGTCTGGCTGGCTGACTGGCTGCCTGGCTTTTGCATTTAATTACTTTGTTTATGGCCCCGGCAGCAACAATAAAACTTCAATTTATGTGTGTTCTCTTTGGCACCCAAGCCCCCCTCGTCTTCCCCCTTTCTTCGCCTTTTCCCCTGCTGTAGTCGAATTCCAATGCACAAATTGACAGGCATCCCCCCATCCATCCAAAACACCCACCCATCCACCCATCCAACCCACCTCCTTCCCCATTTCGCTGGCCTTTGTTATGTAAACAACGCGAACTTTATATTTTTTGTGTCGACGCTGCAATACTAAAACCAACTTAACTCAACTCGCCGCCCTGCCACCCAAAAAAATACAAAAAAAATATAAGGAAAAAGAAAGGGAAAACCACCCACAATTCGCATTCTAACTGAAGGGAAAAGTTTTTCCTTGCACAAATAACTCGACTTCTGCGACTCAACTCGCTTTGAATGCTTTGCAATTTCCGCTCTTCTAAATTTGTTGAAAATATTTTTTTTTTACCCCGTGGAACCCCCGGAAAAGCGAGGAAAACTTTTCTGCTGGGCGGACCAGTAGGAGTACGAATAACAACAACAACATCGACAACAGGGCAACAGCAACCCATGACTGACTGCCCAACCTTGCGTAATATTTTAATAAATTTTGTCGCCAGGCATTGGGCCACCCCACTGGAGCGAGCGGGACAGATAGGGGGGAGTGGGAGCGAGAGGGCGGCACACAATAGCAACTCTGATTGCTGCCACTAACCTTTGTCCGATTTCCGTTTCCACTCGCCGTTCCCGTTGTTCGGCGCCTGCGTCCTAATTAAAACGCAGGCAGAAAGTAGGATAAAGCCAGCCAAAGTGCGTCGAACCTGTCAAGCAAAAAAAAAAGCACCGAAAAAAAACAGGATAATGTGTGGTCCTTCCAAAATTAATTATAAAAACACCTAAAAAAATGGATAGTAAAATGAATTCGATTTGTTAAAGGTTCGCTTCAAGTTCGTAAAAGATAATATCATATTAAACTATATCTTGTCTTTATATTTTTAAGTCACAATCCCTTATGATTTCCAAGAATTCTTAAAGAAAGAAAAATCGAAAAATATAATTTACAATATTTTTTTATGTATGACATTTATTTATACAAATTATAATTGAAATCGCAGTTTTAATTTGGGTGTTTTAGAATAGAATGTGACTATAATTTTTACAGTACTCATAAGTGCAATTAATATTTCGAAAAATTCTTATATAATATTTGTATGTTTCATAATAACATTACAATGAATGCATTAGATTTCACAACTAAATTGGTACTCATGATAATGGATTCTACTTAGAAGAAATATCAAACTACTAATATGTTTTTTTTTTGCTAGAATAAATTTGTCAGTCCTCTATGGAAAATTACATAATCATAGTTTTGCGGGCTTTTGACCCAAATCCCCCCCCACGTAATCAATTTTACGAACAAAAAAGTTCACTGGAGTAATTATTTGGCTGACCACCCCCTACCACATGTAATTACTTTGTATATGGACAGACCCTATTTGTTTTGACATAGTTACTATTTGACAACCAACAATTTGTTTATAGAGAAATAATATTTTAGGGTAATGAAAATATTATAATTGCCATTACCAAAAGTAGAGATATTTCATATTTCTCATCATTTTTGTTCTCCCTGTGCAAGGATCAGCTAACCAGCAGGACATGGCCTGTCAGTTGATTCCTACGACAGAGTGGAGGAGTGTGCACCAGTGGAATTTCCATGTCAAAGCAGATTTTCTAACTGATTTCATGTCCAGCGATTTGAAGCGCTCAACAATTTCTAGTTTGCCGGCATACCGCTCGCTCCGATGTCCTGTTCCTGCTCCTGCTCCTGCTCCTGCTCCTATTCCTGCTCCCAATCCCATTCCTGTTCCCTGGCCTTATGATGATGGCTGATGGCGTTGGCGGCGGCGCCCACTGATGTGGTAATAAACACCCCTTGTGCAGTCTAATGGACCGTAATTAACTCGTGCGTCGACTGCGACTGCGACTGCGACTGCGACGTCGTCGTTGTACAAGCGATGAATAATAATTTTTTGCCAAAGCCACAGAGCCGTAGAGCCGTCGTCCAATCCGTGGACAACAACAGGACCCATTGGACAGACCACCGAGCCCCATAGAAAATACCCCAGTGGTACAGTGGTAACGATTGCCGATTTAATGGCCAATCATTTTCGGGGCCTGATCGCCGTTCGCCATTCGCATCGCATTTACATATGTAACTAACTGGCCAGCAGGCAAACACACTGTCCAGATCCCAGATGGTGGAAATTACTTATCGCCTGTCATTTCGGGTAATCGCTATCCCACATATTAGGTTCGATTATGAGGCAATCTTTATGTCCACAGCAAGTTGTTGATTATGTGTCGATTTGATCTGTGTACTGTTGAATAATTTCAGGATGAGATATGGGTGGTTTTATTACTCAGCAACAGATTTCAAGATAACTGAGATGGTAATTTCAGCAAAGGAAATACTATTACCAGATTAATGTGCTGTATTTTTATGGTACGCATATATTATGCTTAATATTAAGGGCCAAGACTTTGTTTTAATTTACAAATATGTCGGTCTTATTTATATGTTAATAGCAGTGCCATTTATATGTTTATTTTCGATCGATCAAGATGAATCCATTTTTTGTGTTATTTTTAAAGAGAAGAGCTGGACAAAAACCAAAAGAAACAGGGGCAAAAGTGCTTTTATAAACGCATTTGTTTGATAGTAAAATAGTTTGATAGGAGTATAATGACAAAATTAAAATATTCGATAAGATATATCAGACTTCATTAAGTTCCTAATTAAGGTCAAAAATGTACTAAAAAACATTTTGTTATTATTGAGATGTTAAAGATATACCTTGACATATTTCTATGAAAATGTATTTTAGTATACAATGTATATAAATTGTAACGCCACTTGAAGTTATTTTCCGCTCCTTGAAAACTCTTTTCAAGAAATAACTTCTACTCATTGAGTTTTAGAAAGCATCGTGTCATCACCCTTTTCGGAGACAATTACCTCTTCTAGGGGAACCGATTCTTACCATAGTACCCCGTGGCTCCAGATTGCCATTGTTGTTGCTGCTGGTCAGGGTGTTGCTGCTGCTGTTGCTGTTGCTGTTGCTGCTGCTGCTGTTGTTTGCGTGACGGATATTGCCTTGTCACTTGCATGTACGAGAAATGTTAAAACGCGGAGCCGCTTGGCTTGGGTTTCATCGGCTTTTGCCTTTTTCCTAGCTCCTTTCCCCCACAGCAGTCCACTGGGGCAGGTCCTCCGATTCCACCGCTCCTCGGTTGTTACCCCTTTTTTCGACCAGCGACCACAGCAACCGCAGAGCGGCAATCAACGCACAGCAGCAACAGCAACAACAGCAACAGCCAGTGAGTTTTTGTACCGTTCGAAAGTTGTGCTAAAATTTAATTAATTTCGCAATTTGCCTAGACGCTGTCGATTGTAGATTGTCAATTGCAGGCTCGTCGAACAATTTCTATCTTTTTCAAAAAATCCCCCTTCACTACCAAACCCATCGTAGATTTGCGCTTTTTGTGCTTCTCCACTGCGGCTGCCGAAAAATTATGATGATTGCCATCATCATCATCATCATGGTCGTCGTCATACCGCTCGCTGCACTGCCTGCACGTAATACCCATAGACGTACTCCTCGTAATACCCCACACTAAGCGCGGGGCGTGGCAAATGGGCGGCGATTTAGCCATGGCCATTATAAATACCAATTTAATGAGCGCAACATATGCAACGGGCACAATCCAGGGGCGCTGGCAACTAGGAAGGGGAAAAAGGGGGGTGCTGCAGCGGACGTTTAATGCGATTACATGGCAGCGGCACATTTGTCATCGGGGGTAGAGTAACGGGCGTACACTGAGCCAAATTCGAAACGGACGGGGACTAATCACTTCGCTAATTCAATAAGAAATTATTAATGGGTTTGTCTTTGAGTAAGTTGTGGTTGAATTTCGTTTTTGTTATGGTGTACCATGAATTAGGGTATTAGAGATAATTTTTAAAATATCAAGGGGTCAATAACTCTGTTTTAGTTAAATATTGATTTATTGAATAGGCTTATCATTTAAATTTGGGGATAATTTAAATACTCGAAGAGAAAAATATGTATATATTTTAGTATCAATGATCTTCTTTTAAAGAATTTTGATGTGGATAGGATGTTGTTTCTATTTTCTGCAAGTGCTGAAAGTTCTGATGTGAGTTTTGCGCGAATTTTACTGTATGTTACTCTATGATTTATGTAAGTTTTGTTCATTAATGATGTTATGTGATGTCGCACGTTTTTAATAGCAGATTTTCCAGCAGATTAAAGGCATGTTTCTTTTGAAGAGATTAATAGGCAGTTTATGTAAGCTGAAACGATTGAAAAGTGATAAGTGCTTTAAGTGGCGCCCAATAATGACTTAATCCGTGAAATAACTCCCTTAATAGGCGCATAATTGCGGCAAGTGCAGTGGCCCCCTGTGAACTTCAACTGCAACTTCAACCTGCAACTTGCAACAGAATCAGCATCTGTGGCCGTGTGTCAGCTTAAACAAATCAAGTCAAATTACTGCAATGCTAAACAACGAGTAGAGGAAGCAGAAGAATCTGTGGCAAAACATCCAACGAAACGAAATGTAACGAAGCAAAACAAAATGAAACTGGCGTACCAGCCGCAAGGTTTCGCATCCGTAAGATAGATTTTGCTACTGCAGATGCTACTGGGACTGCTGCACTACTGCCACGCCAATTGCATGGCCATCGTGCATAACTCCAGCTGGATTGTCTCTGGTCGGGGGTCTGGGTTCTGGGGTCTGGATTCTGGGGTCTGGAGTCCCTATTCTATGGTTTTAGTACGGCATGCGGGCCACTGCAGTAGCAGTAGCACAGCGGTGGAAATGCCAGTAAGAGGAGCTCCAGTCGCCGCTCATTAAGTGCCACTCTACGACAGTTGTCGCTAATGCCGCCGCATCGTCCCGGTTCCCTCTCCCCTGAACCCTCTGCCCTCTGGTTCCCCCTACCGAGTCAACGTAAATTTGTAAATATTTGCTAGAATCGGACGAGAACAAGTGCCACCATGTGAAGCTGCTCTGCTGCTGCTGCTGCTGCAGAAGGGCAGAAAAATTCCTAGAATTTTTACCCAGTGCGAGCGGGACTTGAGCTTAAATGAGTGTTAGACTAAGAGAAGGGGTTCTGCAAATACATCTGCTCTTCATACAACCCAAACCATGCCCCCCGTTACAAAAGTGCATGGTCCCTGAAGAAGTTTGGCACTTTAAATGCCAAATGCCAGTCGGGAAACCACTCTTCACTCTCTACACTCCACTCTCCACTAATCCACCCAGGGTCCCAGAGTCCATCATTCCCCAAACAGACCAATGCAATTATCCCCGCCTTGCAAAACCCACCTGAGGCTATCGGCGAATCTCTTTTTCATTTCCTTTATGGCCAACCGCATATGGTATGGCCCATAGCATATAGTTAGTGCCGCTCCCCGCCCCTTTCTGGAAAATTTTCAACAATTGTCATATTATACTTTTAGGTTCTATTCACTTGGTTCACTCCATTGTCCTGCTGCATTCACGTGGCCACTCCCTGGTTTCCCTTTTGATAACCATGTCGGCGAAGGGCGCCACTTGCACCCTGTGTACCTGCAGCTGCAACATGGATGATTCGACGGCGAGGAGTGCTCGAAAGATATGGGAAATCTGTGGCAATGTGGTTGGAAATCAAAAATATGGGTATTATTATTTAATGGGCTGCTTTATAAATAGAACCCATTATAAATCATTGCTTAATGTGGAGCATACTTTTGAAATCAATACGACTCACTCTTTTGCTAAATTTAATAAACGATCATCTCCAGTTCCAGAAAATCACTTATTCGGATCGGAGTTTCTGAGTAATTTGATCACTCCCCAACGTTTTATTTTGAGAAGGGTGGCCACCGAATTGGGGTCACCTTTTAGGGGTGTCATCCTTTTATTTGATGGCTCTGCTTTTTCAGGTTACCTTTTAAAGTTTTCGTTTTCCATGATCAATTTTATAAGCAGCTAATTGGGTCTTTCTTTTCGTTATGGAGGTCAGGTCAGATCAATTTTTTAATGGGCTCTCCTTTATTTTTGGTTCCACCACATATGAGATCATTTGAGATAGTTGACAGCCAAGTGTGAGAACTTTTTATGGCCTCCACAGGGGGCCGCCACAAAGAATGAAATATATTTTACCACTTAGGATGGGGTCATCTCGTGGAGAGATGAAGTTTAGCCATTTGGTGGTAGAGGTGTCACCACTTGACGGGGTCACCCCACAAATGGGGTCACCCAACAGGCATTTTTCAAACATTTAAAGGTGTCAGCTCACTTGACTTGCCCGAAAAGAAAAAAACCGAGAAAGAACATTCCAATCCATGCCGAAATAAAAAACATCCCTGACTTTTGAGCAACCCTCGCCAGGACTAGGATCAAAACTGCCGGGGTTTTCCCTCCGAAGCAGGGCGGTTAATGACCATTCATTGTCTTACCTGACCCACTTGTTCCTGTTCCACTGCCTTCCGAGTTACGGAGTTGCTTTGAGCTCGGTGAGTCAGAGTCTTGATGTGTAATTTGTATTTAAAATGCAACAAACCATAATTTTAAAGTCGCCGCTGTGCGTGCAGTTTGTCAAAAAGAGCTGTAGTATGATGAAGAGGAGGCAACCTGCGGTGCTGAAGACTGAAACGGAATGAAATTATTAAGTATTTGCCTGCGCCGGTTGGCAGTTGGAGGAACAAAGGCCAAAGCTTTTAAATATTTAATAAGTATACAAAAATGGAGGAAGGAATCGGGAGAGGAGGGACATTCGCCTGTTGTTGAGTCATGTCAATTGACTGACTGAGTGCCCCGCTGAGCCAAGGGAAATGGATGTGGACGTGGAAGTGGCGATGGGAATGGGAATGGAAGTGGAATCAATACCATGGATGGCCGCCTGCAGGGTTCCCAAGTACTTGTAAGGATATACACTCACACACTCGCCCTCTCTCTGACGTACTAACGGTGACAATAAATGAGTAAAAATGACTTCAACGAAACGAAAATGAAACGACAAACCGACCGAAGGACAGACGGACGAAATCTGTCATCAACACGCCGCCAGTCCGCCAGTGAAGAGCAAAAGATACGAACTGAACCTGGATACGAGGAGGCCCTCACAGATACCCACGCCACGCACACCCATGCGACAGCCATGAAATTTGATACGATGCGTGTGCGTCAGTTGGAGTGAAAACGAGTGGAGTGGGTGTTCTGGATGGGCAGAAGGACGTAGCGCACAGGACAGGCCAAAGAAATTTCCATTTAATAATAGCAGTCGCCTGTTCTTGGGTATTTCCCAAAACTCGTATTTAAAACTTGTAAATACAAGTTGAACAAGATTTACGCACTTAACGAGGCAATAACAGAATTTTGATATTACATTTTGAGACTAAACTCAATTTAAATACTAATTAACAGAATTATTAATAAAATAATTCAATTATTACATTTTAAAAATATTTTTGGGTCATGATATCATCAGGCTTTAAATGCCTTTAAAAATTTCTATATTTCAGTGAAACAGTGGATTCGCTCTTTCGGTTATTGCCTTGAAATTAATGTACATATATAAAAGTACAAATTGTTACAAAGGTATTCTCTATAATATAACCGGGGATTGGTGTAAATTCTTGAATAACTAGCAGTCATGTCCAGTTGCTCGTTACTTATATGATCCTTTTTGGGAATATTCCAACATTAATCATTCTTGTATATACAACATTAGTAGCATTTTGAAAAACAGGAAGAAATTCAGAGGGACTGTAATTTAAGCATAATCTTCTGCCGAATCTAATTGACTAATATTCAATCTTTTCCGGAGAGAAAGTGCCTGGTTACAAGTGAACTGGTTTGCATATGGCCTCAATCGTGCTGTATTTAAAGTATATTTCCCACTATCGCGATCCTTTTAAGGCCAGCCAATGTGCAGAGTTTTGATAAGGATGTAACAAAAATTTTAATGGGGTTAAGTCCATCGACATGTATGCTATATTCCCACAACTCAAGGCTGTTGTGTTTGTGAATAACAAAAAAAAAATCCCCCCGGCCATTAAAAGTTCCTTCTAAATATATCAAACTCCATCAGGCATCGATCCAAAGTATGAAAGAGGGTGGTTCGATGCGTTATGACCGGCCAGATTAATAGAGCTCCAAATTTTTATTTGTTTTGCTGCGACTGCCAGTCCTCAAAGATATTTACTTTATGCTTCGTCTAAGAATTAATAAGGAATAACGTGATTTATGTTCTGCCATGGGCGTTGGTGGGGGGCTAAACTTCCGCTTTATTGGCCAGACATATGACGGAATGACAGTACTTTGTGGTTATGTTTCATTTATGCTGTTGTTTTTATTGAGCCTGGCAAAATATGAACCATTGATGGCATTTTATTGTTATTACCAGATAAACTGCGGGGTTCCCTTGCTTTTGCAAAGTTAAACATAATTTTAGTGTGTTGTTTTTGCCACAAGGAGGTGGAATTATAATGGCTTTTGCTATAATCGAGATTTTCATTAGGCTATTTCTTTGGTTATTTTGTTATGTCGTTTTGTAGAGAAAATATTTCGAGAATTTATGAATTTTTCTTGATGATTTGTTTACCTTCCCGGCGAGATTGTATATACTTTAGGGCTATAATTTTAGAAATATCCCTAGTCCCGTCTTTCCACATTTCCACTCGTCAACCTTTTGACTCTAGGGGCAACTCTCGTGGCTGGTGAAATTTACAACCTTACCTGTCCTAATCCCGGTGATGCAGCATGCTCGCAGCAACATATTTCGCTTCTCCTGGCTGGAGAACAATGCGAAGGCTTTTAGGGGCAACGAGGAAGACGCTACGGTCTGGTTTGGTTGGGTCTACCTGACCCGAAATGCGGAAAACAAAAGCCGAGATGAAAACAAAACTACATCGCAGCAGAGCTCAACTGCAACACGCATTGCACCTGGGATTCAGATGGGATGGAATGGGATTGGACAGGGGATTGGGCTGGGTGGACCTAGCTGGCGCACACGCCTCACATTCTCCCTTTCGGTTTTTATGGATTTGTGAAACATTTTATAACTTTTTTACATGGAAATGATGTGTGTATGCGAGTGCCGCAGGTGGGGCTGTTTATTATGGTAACCTCGAAAACAAGTTGAAACCGGAGACACCACCGAACCGAGCGACAAACTAAATAATGCCCCAGCTTTGTATTTGTCCATTTCGATGATGAGCCCACACAGTCGAGATAAAGATAAATACGAGATAAATGAAGATTGCGTTTCGGCACTCGAGGCGCCATTGTAATAATAAACCCAAACCAAAAGGAACAAAAAATTATAATAAAATCCGAGCCTAAATCAAATAGAGCATAATCTGCTGATGGGGACTGACTGGGTTGCACACTTGATCGTCATCATCACTTGTTGGGGGCAGATCAAGAAAACGAAAACGAAATGAAAACGAATGCGTGGCACAAATTGAATCTGATTGTTCAAGTAGTCGGGTCTCGGTCTCCGTATCTGTATCTGTATCAAATGTAAATCAGAGGCAACGGGCATGCCCCATCCATCCCCCTGCAATCGCTTTATTCAAATTCAACTCAAAAACAGCTGCTACACTTCATTACCATAAGGTTCGCCTTGAACAGCACTCCCAACAATCCCCTCCAGATCCCGAACCCCTACATGCAATTTGATGTGTGATTATGCCTTTTTGTTGCTTATCAAAATGAAAATTCAAATTCAACTATAACAGCACATTGTTTACAACGCCCCCTCTGAACCCCTTCGTGGACCCTGAAAGCATTCAAACAAAACCCGAACCCAAAACTCAAACCCAATCACAGCAACAGCAGCAACATCAACGGCAGCAACACTTGGAGAGCTGCAAAAGTGACACTTCTAAGAGATTAAAGTGACATGTAGTGGTCCGTACATTCAGGCTATATGGCGACGGATAGCGACGGACTGTCTGACGAAGAGCTGCCGACTCTCTGCCGCCCCGGTGCCCCACACCTTCCACCACTCGAAAGTGGGGAAAGTTGAGGGACAGGACAGGGGAATTACGAGTCGAGTACGAGTATTTGTTGGGCTCTATGCATAGATTAATAAATTATAAGCCGCTTCTCTGAATGGAGTCACTCTGATTACACTCACAGAAAATGGGTGAAAAGCAGAGCTTACGCCCTCTTGAACAACGAAAATTTGAAGGGGATGTTGGGTGTGCCAGAAGTCGTAATTATGCTCAGTTGTTAATCAGATTTATCAAAAGGGTTGCTGAAGAACTTCCAATTTTATAGGCAAATTTTATAAAAATAGAACTAACGCATGTTATATTAATTGAGGCAACTGAAAGAAGGTCAAATTTGATAACATTTCTGGGAAATATTCTTTCGCCATATTCTCTTTGATCAGAAAAAAGATCAATTTGAAGTGGTCAATTGGAATAAAATATAAACTACTGATCAATTAAAATAAAATATATTAGATTGTCGGCGTTTTTTTGGTTTAAATGAGATTTTAAATGATTTTTAAATAATCAACAAAACCAGTGAACATTGAAATTGGTCAATACAAGTCGCAATCGAAAATTAGTTATTGTGTGATCACCAATGCTTTATGATGGCCTCGAAATCAAAGCTACTGCTCCATTTCTTGCTGGCCATGCAATTGGTCAGTAAAGTAAGTAGATCTGCATTAAAAACAAACTAAAAGTTTCTTTAGTCAGAGGTAAACTTATATTTTAGGCACCTTCTCTGGTCGAGTTCAAGAATGTAAAGTGTGAGGCAGTCGATACGGAATTTTGCACTTTCGATTATTGCCATTTGAAATCTGTGAACCGGACATATAAATACCTTTCGCTTAGAATTAAAATGTTAAAGCTGCTCATCACCAATGCTAAGGTATGGGGCAGGACAAATATTATTATCTTGCAAGTATCTAAAATTTTAGCTTAGGTCAATGGTGCACTTTATCAACGGCTCAATGGATATAAGCCCTTTCTCTACAATATAACAGTGGATTGCTGTACATTTTTCAAGAATCAGAAGTCTAACCCCGTTGCTAGTTTCTTTTACGATTCATTTAAAGGATTTTCAAACTTAAATCATTCCTGTCCCTACAATGTAAGTAGAAAGTTACGTAAGAAAATAGTCCTCTTATTTTCCTTAATAATATATATTTATAGCATGACATAGTGATTGATAAACTAACTGCAGTATCTGTAAATCATCGTGTGACTAATATTCTACCTTTTCCGAAGGGAGAGTATATGTTAAATTTAAACTGGATTGTGTACGGCAGCAGCAGACTTGTTGTTAAATTATATTTGGCTCTAACGTAATTGTGCTGTACTTCTATATAGAAAACTAAGATATAGTAAAAAACATTTTTCACAACTGAAATAAATAAAGTGACCAGGATTAGGAGTTTGCTTTTTTTAAACCTTAAAGAAAAATACATTTTCTTGGGTTTCTCGCGGTGCACCTTTCGCTACCCTGCTCGCTTTCTTTTCCACTCAACTCCTGGGGGAAAACGACAGTCAGTCCCCTGAGCATATGTACGCCTCCGTCCCCTTGGATCCGGGGAACCATACCATCCATCTGATTTTCCACCGCCGCCCCCGCATCAGAATGCGGACGTGGATGTGAATGTGAATGTGGAGCAATTAATGTTTGTGTTTTGTCATTTCAAGCCCGACATTGCCCCGACTGCCCCTCCTTTTCCCTTCTTGATGGGGATGCTGTTTTTGTTGTTCTTACATTTTATGCGCATAATTAAGTCGGTGTATCCGTAAAAGTATGCGACACTTCCGGCTTGGACAACTGCCGACGAGAGTTCCTATTGGAACTGCGCTTTGTACTGCTTTTTCCCCTGATTTTATTATTATTTCTTTTAGCTACGACTTTTTCATTGTAATACAATTCATTGGGCATTGAGCATTGGAACTCTTTCTTACCGACATGTTCTTTAACATGACATTCTTGGGGAGGGGGTGGGAAATAAAGAAGCTGCGGAAATACCGAAGCACGAACGATCATCATCGTGGAGAATCGTTGAGAAGGAAATTGGGAAAATATTTTGATGTGCTGTAAATTGTCGATTATATCGCCAGGCCCAGTCCCATATCAAAAGATACAATCTCGATTATCTACGCTTGAAATTATCATTTACATTTGACAGACCTTTCCTGTTCTTCTAGCCCGTAATTGATATCTGTTTTTGTTTTTTTTTTTAATGATAATTATCATTTAGAACCTCTGTGTAGTATAATTATGGGTCCCTTTGACAGTCCGTCTCTGTTTTATTTCTGTTCTCAACATTTTATAGATCCATAATCGTTGGATACTTGAGCACTAATTGAGGGTCTCATGTCTGGGCATTGGAATTGGCTGCCCATCCAAAAGTTGTATGTTTTCGGGTGAACCTGTTTTTGGGGAGTGGGCACAAATTCCGAATAGTTGTCTGGGTCTTCATCTCCAGCTTCATCTGATATATTGATTGTTTGCACTTTGTTTTCCCGTTTCTGCTTTGTCAACAGTTTTCCCGTATTTATTGTGATTTTTTTCTGCTCCCATTGATTAAGACCCCCGACACTTACTCCATCTGCAGCTCGACTTGTTTGACTTTGGGCCACGCTGACTCCAGCTTAATCCCTCGGTGGGCGGAGCGGGAGAACTTTGATATGGCTTATCTCTGTTTCTGTACCCGTGATGGGAGGAGTACACGAGCGGAGCAAGAGATTTTGACACATGTCATAGGCAATGGACAAACAGAGTCCACCTCCCCAAGTGGGACTAACTCTCCATTGCTCGTGTAAGCCACAAAAAAACAAATCACTTGAGGGCAACCCCACCATCTGGAGCGGGGGTTCCCTTGTCCCCCAGCTCCCCAGTGGCATTATTTGAATTAAGTGCATACTTAAGCGTAATTTATTGGAAAATCCACAAGAGCCTCCAGGCGACTCTCGGCGGATTGAGCTGGGCGCCTCCTCCATCTACCATAAATCTATTGTTTCAGTTGGTGCGAGGTCGCGTCATTAATCTGCAGACGACTCTTTTAGTCCAGTCTGAGATTTCTGAGGAGCAGCAGATGACATTCTATCCATGTGTCTCGGGTTTATTTGTGCTGTGCCCGCCCCGCTTGGCTCTATTTGAATAGTTCTCTGGCAAAAGTCTCGGTCTTATCTCCCGAATGTCAGACCAAATGGCAGTAAAAAGAGTGAAAAGTGTGGAGATGGGGTGGAAAAATCGTTAGAGCTAGTAGTATAATAATGTGCGGGTGGGTAGTACGTTGTTTATTGGGTTGGGGAGTCATGCAAACGACATCGATTTCATTTAATATGCCAAGTGCCCATTTCAAAGCCATGTTTACGGTCATTGTTTATGCATCAACATAATCATTTCTGCTCATAATAGTACATAAATGGAATAGTCATCAAATCGCCGAATTGGGGCAAATGGAAAATTAAATTTAGTTGAACACATATTTTAATTACTTCCAAATAAATATTTATGCCACAAACTAATTTATTTATTTAACGAGAAAATGTGGCAGAAATTATAATCTGGCCAGCATTGATTGCCGAGTATTCGAAACATTTCTGGTTAAATATTAGTTTATAATTTCTGTTAATGTGCATTATACCTCAAATTCAAATTGAAAATTTCCCTGTTTTCGTTTCCCCATTTAATTTGCAAACACAAATCACTTTCTGGTTATAACTCTCGACTAAATTGATATTGAGTGCTTTGGATTCTTCTTGGTATCAAATTATTGTTGTTTTCCTGGCTTAGCTTAATTCGTTGGCACTCTAGACCAACGTCGTCCACTGGCAATTTCCAGTTTTAGTTGGACCACGCAGAGCAGGCTTCTTACTTCTAGGCCTCCGTCCAGCCCCCCGGACTCTTAGGCTTCCACATCTTGGGCACAAGAAGAACGAGTTATTGGCATGCATTGAATTTGCTTCGGAATTTGTTGGGCTATGGGGGCCAAAGGGACTGGGGATCGGGGACTGGGGATTGGGGGCCGCCAGGAGGAGTAGTCGAGCAAAAGAGTAGACAATCAGTGGCATGTATAGAATTTCACTGATTTATGTTTCATATGAGCCGACTATGAGGCAGAGATTCCCTCAAGGCAGGAGCATGGCATAACCGAGGATTGAGCACAGGATGAGCTGCAGGATGGAGGAGCAAATCCTCCGGCCGGGTGACAATGCAGTGATTACATCTTTTGAGCATATATGTATGTACAATATACACACACACCCCCCTCCCCCGCAATTTCCGTGATGTGAAAGGCATGCCTTTGCTGCTGTTCAAAAAATATTTTCTCCAGAGTTTCAGAGCTTCACGAGAAAAGATGGGCGGGGGAGGATGGGTGGAGGTTATATGATAAATTTTTGATTAAAGGCCCCCATGCCTGCTCATGATAGGTTCTCTTCTCCGTACACTCTCATGTGTGTATAATATGCATTCCGTTTGTATGGAAAGCTTGCTCAAATTACGTTTGACATTCAATTGAGTTTAACTTGATTGCCAGTTAAGTGAAACAGAGGAAGATTTATAGATATGCATATGTATCGGGGGAAAGCGATTTTTGACAGCCCAACGCTGATTACTCCAGTTATCCAATAACCGAAAATTCTTCTTGGCAGGCCGGGGAATCAATCGCGGCTGTCATTTATCCAAATGTTAATTTAAACAATTAATATCAGAAGCAACGAGCCAGCGGCATGGAGTGCCTTAAACATGTCAATTTGCAAATTAAGTACACAACATGACAGACCAGCAGCGAAAGAGATGGCAAGACAGAGAGAGAGCAGGCCACATATAGAGCCAAATATAGATCGAATCCGAATCTGAATAGTTAGCCTGGGGAATGTAAATGAAGACTGGCACTTGAGAGGGCAGAAGAATCAGAACGAGACAGCAGCAGAGGGTCATTAGAAGAAACCAGAGATTTAATTGGGCCAGAGTGCTCTTAAATATGATTTGTGAGTTCCCCAGAGGAATCGAAAGCGGAAGCCTAGAGATTACAGATGCGAGTAATTACCAGATGAGCTTCCAGATAGCATAGTTCCTCAGTTCTGGTAGGTTAGGGCAATATAGTTAAGCATTTCAAATGGAACTAAGTCCACTTTGCCCCGGGGAAACAACTGACCAACGTGATCTTAAATATGAGTTATGTGTTCCCTTGAGGAAAAGCGAAAGCTTTATTATCACAGAGTTTAATTATTTACTAGACGAGTTGTTATAAACCGTAATTACTTAGTTTAAGTTGAGGAAATTCTATGAAAAATTCAGAACTGTCACATATTTTCCGATTACAGTTCAAAATGAATTCAATGAATCCAAGCACCTAAGCATTATAATCATTCAAAATGAAATGTTTACTCAAAAGAAAACTCTTTTTCGATACTCTTATGTTTACTTGTTGATAGGGAATTTACCCCTAAGAAAAACATACCATATGCCATCCAAACAACTGATAATTGTAGTTTTCTGGAAGTGATTAGTGGTCGTTGCTACCGCTCATTCCGACAGGTGTTTTAAGGGATGGTTTTTCCTCAAAAAAAAAAAAAGAATAAAAAAAGAGAGGAGCTAATTTGTGACCAGGCAATATATCATGGCACTACAGCCGACAGTGGAGTTTTCGTACCTCCAACTTCTGCCACTCAACTTCTTCAAATATATATATATGTAGTTTTAAGTATAATAAATATACACCGCAAAGCGCATAGGAACTATATTTAAACGCTCAGTCAATGGCAATTTCCTGCTGTTGCCTTTGCTGATGCTGATGCTGATGCCTTGCCGAATTTATAGATAATTTTTCATGATTTTCCCGACACGTTTCCCAATCTCTCGTTGCAGATGTGCCCAGCAGGTCGCTGCGATGCCTTCGAGCTGCTGCTGCTGCCGGCGATGCTGATGATGATGAAGTTGCTGCCGCTCTCGGTCCGCCTTAGCTGCTGACAGCCAAGTGCAGTATCCGAAAGATAGCAGATACCATTTACGAGAGATACCCGAAACAAAGGAAAGGAAAAGTGCATTTCCTGCTGCTACCTAACGTCTACCTACAACGCCGGATTCTACCTACGATTTCGGTGGGGAGTTGAGAAAGAGAGTAGCTCGCCGTAGGTACTCGCCACTCGATACTTTTTCAACCGCTCGACGATACACAACATCATCTGCCGCTCAGTTCGGTCAAGAAGCGCGTTCGCGACGGCTGCAAAAGAACATACCGCCGTACCGCCGTAGGAAAAGTGTAGTAGAAAAGGCGGACATTCAACCTACTCATTCCATCGCCTCCAAGCAAAAGGATTAACAGTGAAACCACCCA